AACCCAAAGACAACAGGGGAGACAAACAAGGATATTGAGGAAAATTGGAGCCTCTAGCACCTACGGTGAACATCAGACGCAGCCTGTTAGCCAGATAAACATACAACTCACATTAAAGGTCTGTTTACCTAAGTTCTTGTTACCTAATACATCATGTCTGGCTTCAGTAAAAAAGTACAAAGTATGCTAAAAGGGAAAAAAGAGACAAAGCAAGCATCGAGCCAGACTCAGATATGTCAGAGATTTGGGAGTTATCAGACTGGGAATTTAAGATAACTGATTAATGTGCCAGATTTCTAATAGACTAAGTGAACAACATGCAAGAATAGTCAGGTAGTATAAGCAAGAGATGGAAACTCAGAATCAAAAAGAAATGCTTAAAAAAAAAGGCCAGGCGCGGTGGCTCACGCCCGTAATCCCAACACTTTAGGAGGCTGAAGCGGGAGGATCACCTGAGGTCGGGGGTTCAAGACCAGCCTGACCAACATGGAGAGACCCTGTCTTTACTAAAAATACAAAATTAGCCTGGCGTGGTGGTGTATGCCTGTAATCCCTGCTACTCGAGAGGCTGAGGCAGGAGAATAGCTTGAACCCGGGAGGCGCAGGTTGCTGTGAGCCAAGATCCTGCCATTGCACTCCAGCCTTGGCAACAAGAGCAAAACTCTGTCTCAAAAAAAAAAAAAAAAAAAACCACAAATGCTAGAAATAAAACATTGAAGCAGAGATGAATGCCTTTGATGGGCTCATAAGACTGAACACAGCCAGAAAGAATCAGTGAGCTTGAAGATATATCAATAGTAACTTCCCAAATTGAAATGGAAAGATTCCAAAAAGGAATGGAAAAATTTTTTAAATAGCAGAATATCCAAGAACTGTGGGATAATTTTTAAAAGCGTAGGTTGGATGCAGTGACTTACACTTGTAATCCCAGCACTTTGGGAGGCTGAGGCAGGCGATTGCTTGAGACCAGGAGTTTGAGACCAGCCTGGGCAACATGGCAAAACCCAGTCTCTTAAAAAAAAAAAAAAAAATACAAAAATTAGCCAAGCATGGTGGTGCACACCTGTAATCCCAGCTACTCAGGAGGCTGAGGTGGGAGGATCACTTGAGCCTGGGAGGTGGAGATTGCAGTGAGCTGAGATCATGCCACTGCACTCCAGTCTGGGCAACAGAGTGAGAACTTGTCTCAAAAAAAAAAAGTAAAATGTAGCTATGCATAATGGGAATACGGTAGTTCTCCCATATCCACAGTTTCACTTTCTATGGTCAACTGTAGTCCAAAAATAGGTAAGTGCAGTACAATAAGATTTTGAGACAGAGGGAGAGAGACAATGCTCACATAACTTATTACAGTGTATTATTATAATTCTATTTTTATAAATCTCTTACTGTGCCTAGTTTATACATTAAGCTTTATCATAGGTATATGTGTATCAAAAAAAACAAAACAAACAAACAAAAAAACTATACATCAGGTTCAGTACTATCCACAGTTTCAGGCATTCACGGGGAGTCTTGGAACATATGCCCTGTGGATGAAGGGGCGACTACCGTACCAGAAGGAGAAGAGAGAATAGAAGAGAGAGAGATTAAAGTCAGAGTATGAGTAACTCTAGAAACTTTGCTCTAAACAAGATCAGAGAAATGATGTATCTGAGGGGGCAAATGAGGTAGAGTTTTGTTTTTAAGTCTTGTTTTGAATGCCATAGGAGTGGTCTAGGAGAGGTAATTTGATGCTGTAGGTGAGAGATGGGAGTGTTGCCAGAGCAATGTCCTCAAGGAGGCAAGAGAGGATGGGATCTGGTGTGCAAGCAGAGGGCTCGGCCAAGGAGCAGGTAACAGGAAGACAGCAGAGTATGAGAGCAGGGCTGACGTGTGGGTGTGTGATGGTGGGAACTCGTGGACATTCTTTTCTGATTGCTTCTGTTTTCAAGGTCATCAGCTGAGAGGAAAGCTGGGGTAGAGGGGTTAGAGGTTTGGGACCTTATGATTTAGTCTTTGAGGATACTAAATGGACTAGTGTGATTATTAATATAGTATGACTGCCAGCTGGTGGTAATGGCTCCCCTGAGGTCCAAAGTACTATATTCTGTTTTACCTGCCCATTATTGCATAACTCAAAATCCTGTTACACTGTGTCTTACTGGAAATGGACGTGTTTCACTAGCATCTCATCACAGTAACGATTTTGGTTCCCAGGAAAGAAGCATCAAATTTGCCAAGTTAGATCTCCTCAGTAGGCCAGTTGGCTAATCCATTATATAATACGCCATGATTTCCCCTGGTTGTTATGTACGATCGCTACTCTTGGGGACAACTATCAGGCTTATGGTTCAACAAGTACCAGTGCCTTCTAGATATCAAGGCACTGCTATAAGGGCAGAATAAAGCAGTATTTAACATCTACCTTCATGGAGTTTACATTTAGTGGGAAACAAAATACATGTCCAGTGTAAAGGGTTCTGAGAAAATAGCGCACGGCAAGGATAGGAACTTGGGGATTGCAGCTTTATATTGGAGGGTCAGGGAAGAGTTATCTGATAAATGACATTCGAGGTGAGGCCTGAAGGACAGAAAGACTAGAAGAGTAGGCCATAGGGGGAATAGTGAGCCAGGCTTTTGTGTTCACCTCTACTTTATAAATAGACTAATAGAAGGCAGGCAGCAACCATTGATGTCAACACTGCCACTTTTTACTAAATGTAATAAAACTTTAAATACATTCTGTCTACTCTTCCTGAAATACAACTCTGTGTGCACTTAGTATTACATTTTCCCTTTCTTATCAAACTTGCTGTTTTACAAATTCAGTGTGTTCCAGTCAGCTGTATTTAGTATTTCCTTTTTGATCAAATTGTGAAAACCTGCTCAGTGGGAACCCATTAACTGGCTGTTTTGTCCTCTCAGAACTGCCTCAGACATTTTTGTTTTGTTTTATTTCATCCCCAGACTTTTTTTTTGGTTTTTGTTTTTGGAGACGAAGTCTTGCTCTGTAGCCCAGGCTGGAGTGTAATGGCATGATCTTGGCTCACCACAACCCCTGCCTCCTGGGTTCAAGCAATTCTCCTGCCTCAGCCTCCCCAGTAGCTGGGATTACAGGTACACGCCACTGCACCCGGCTAATTTTTTATATTTTTAGTAGGGATGGGGTTTCACCATGTTGGCTAGGCTGGTCTTGAACTCCTGACCTCAGGTGATCCACCCGCCTCAGCCTCCCAAAGTGCTAGGATTACAGGCGTGAGCCACTGCGCTGGGCCAGTCACAGACATTTTTGAAAGCACCCTTATTTCCAGTAACAAGATATTCCAGGCCCACTCTGATCCCTACCCCCAAACATAATTAGCTCCTGCACAAGGAGCCTGATATTAGAGGCCCAAGATGACCCAGGGGTATACATCCCACTTGATCGCATAAGCGCTGGTTGTAGGACACTGCTGTTGAGCCACCAGGAAAACACAGACTTGGGAAAGACATCAGCTCTTTCTAAGGTCCCAGGTTCATACAGCTGTCTCCAGTTTAGCTGTTATCACCTAGTCCTTTTTTTGTCTCATTTTAATGTAATTTAGTTAATGTAGTTAATTTACTGTAGTTAATAACATACTTAAAATTTAAACCCTTCTTGACTGGATAAACAAAATGTATGTCCACAAAACGGAATACTATACAGTAATAAAAAGGAATGGACTACTGCTATGTGTTATATGAACCTGAAAAATGTTATACTTAGTGAAAAAAGCCAGACACAAAAGATGTCATGTCACATGATTCCATTTATATTAAATGACCAGAAAAGGTAAATCTATAGACACAAAGCAGACCAGTAGTTGCCTGGGGCTGGGGTTAGGAGTAGGGAGCTTTTGGGAATGATAGAAATGGATTGTGGTGCTGGGCGCGGCGGCTCACGCCTGTAAACCCAGCACTTTAGGAGGCTGAGGCAGGCAGATCATTTAAGGCCAGGAATTCAAGACCAGCCTGGCCAACATGGCGAAACCCCATCTCTACTAAAAATACAAAACTTCGGTGGGGTGGGTGTGGTGGTACATGTCTGTAATCCCAGCTACTGGAGGATTTGAGGCAGGAGAATCACTTGAACCCAGGAAGCAGAGGTTGCAGTGAGCTGAGATCGCACCACTGCACTCCAGCCTGGGGGACAGGGTGAGACTTTGTCTCTTTAAAAAAAAAAACAAAAAAACACTTGTGGTAAGGAAGTACACAATTCCATAATCATAGAAATCATTGGATTTATATCTCAAGAAATTGTTTTTGAGATGGGGTCTTGTTCTGTTGTCCAGAGTTGGGGTACAGTGATGCGATTATAGTTCACAGCAGTCTTGAACTCCTGGGCTCAACCAACCCTCTCGTCTCAGCCTCCTGAGTGGCTGGGACCACAGGCATGCACCACCATGCTTGGCTAATTTTTAAAAATTTCGTAGAGACAGGGTCTTGTTATGTTGCCCAGGCTGGTTTTGAACTCCTGATCTCAGGTGATCCTCCTGCTTTGGCCTCCCAAAGCACTGGGATTACAGGCATGAGCCACTGTACCCAGCCTCAAAATTGTTAAAAAAAATTAAACCCTTCTTTTAACTTCTACATCTACCTCCTTAATTGGCTATATTGACCTAATAAGCTATTCCATTATATTAACTTAAAAAATATATATATATATTTTTCCATACCTTGCAATAATATCCCTCATCACAAATCTGCCTTAATCTTTGTAACACCTGTATCCTTGTTTGGATCTCAGGTACAGCCAGAACATGACAAATTATTGCTCATCTGTTCATTCCTACCCTTTTTCCTATAGGTGCTCCATTTTCATAAAATCTCTTATTTTTCACTCTGATGATTGAAGAAGAGATCAATAGATGGTTGCTTTGCTTGTGACCTTCCTGCAAGTTCTTGTGAGGACTGAGTGTGACGCTTTGCTTACCAGCTCTTTCTAAAATATATAAATAGCCCAGTCTTCTAAAATTGGGGGCTCAAATCCACAAATGACATGTTATTTGAAAATACTGGATTTAATAGAAAATATCACATTGTAAACAAATCCATTGATCCATGAGCTTAAAACAGAATGACAGCACAATCACATAGAAAAGCTAAAGACAAAACACTGGTACCAAACATAGCCCTTAGGCCTGAGCCAGACTCTTAAAGGTCTTTCCCAGAAATAGAGACAGCAGTAGCTTCAAACAGGCACAAAAACAGCCAGGAGGAGGCAGCATCCACTCCATGAAGGCCTAAGACAATGAAAGGAAACCAGAGCAACAGACCACCTTGGGATCCGGGGAGAAGGATAAATGGGCAAAAGGGTTGTATTTCCTGATGTTCTCAGAACATCAGACCACACCATGTGAATCTAAGCAGGACTATTTTAAGTGGGGAAACAATACTAGAAACATTTGGTGTGTTTTCCTGGCACTCACCTCCTAGGGAAGCAGGAGAGCGGGACACTCAGGAGTTGTGACTAAACTCACACTTAAGCTGCCTGCCCAGACCGTCCTCTTGGCTGAACACAACACTGAAATTGTGGCAGTGTCTGTTGCCCCAGTGGACCTCCTACTTACTAATGAGTATGTAAAACAGAGGAGCCACAGTGAGGCCTTTCACAAAAACACAGGGCTCTGGGGGGAAAACGGCTTCCACCTTCCTCCTTTTGATGCTGCAGAGTCCCTGAGGGAGAGAAGTTTGACATGGCTGGGCCCCTTGAGGCTCTGGGCTTATCAGTAGAAGCCACCTCTTTGACCCCACCCACCCAAATCCACCCCCAGGTTCTCCCAGTTCAGAGAAAAGCTGTGAAACTGGAAAACAACTGGAAGAAGGAAAGAAGGCATCGTTTTCTTTCCACTGCACTTGTTACTGACCAAAGAGCCTGCTTCCTTGCACTTATTTTAGATATTGAGAGTTTGTGCCTTAACCTGGGACAATGGTTCTCAACCAAGGGGCAGGCCTGTGCAAGAAGGACTCTCAAGACTCTTCAAAGAGGTGGCATCCAATATACACAAGCCCCTAATTCCCTCCCACTTGAAAATCAGTGCATGTAAGGAGAGAAATTCCTGATCTGAGTGTGTTGTACATGTGAACCGTGGCTGAAGCAGAACAAAAAGTTTAAAACTCCCAACCTGGGTTTGGCAGACATCAAAATGATGGAGTACATTTTGCAGAGATTTTTTTTCTGATTAAGTTACGAACAAATCATTCTCCCTATAGCTAAACTCCATGACTAGGCTCCCAGCCTCATGGCCAAGAACAATAAGTTTACCCACTTATCTGGAGTACCCATACTAGATTAAAGAAATACAATTCTTTCTTCTAAAGACAATTTCCAGAAAGACCTGCCTTTCCCTATGGGTACTTGACACTAGGTCCCAGCACAGGCTAGTCGCTGTATGGTTTCTTAGAAGACTGGCTTTTCTCAGTTTCTTTCTCTTTGATACTGTACAAGGGGTCCACCAACTTGTTATGAACAAGCATTAAACCTACAAAAAATTAAAAAGAAAAAGTAGTTAATTCAGGCAGTGGCAAGAGTTCCTTGATTATCAATCATAACATCCAGGAGCTCTCAAATTTTGTCTTAGAGCTGACTCTTCTCTCTTTTCTCTATGATCCCCAAATGATAAACACCCTAAGTACAAGAAGAGTTATTCACAGTGAGTACTATATTCATGGAACTTTTATAAATTCAATCACTGTGGGAGTTGGCTATTTAAAGGTTAGTCTTTTCAGCAAAGAACAAATTCCTAATTGACCTGCTTGAGTAAAGGAGGATTTTCACATGTTTGCCTAAAGCAGTGTGCATCCTTTTAAAGTAAAAGAAGAGCTGGGCATGGCGGCTCTCATGCCTGTAATCCTAGCACTTTGGGAGGCCGAGATGGGTGGATCCCCTGAGGTCAGGAGTTAAAACAAGCCTGGGCAACATGGCGAAACCCCGTCTCTACTAAAAATACAAAAATTAGCTGGGTACAGTAGCGGGCACCTGTAATTCCAGCTACTTGGGAGGTTGAGTCAAGCAGAATCACTCAAGCCCGGGAGGTGGAGGTTGCAGTGAGCCGAGATCACACCACTGCACTCCAGCCTGAGTGACAGAGTGAGACACTGTCTCAAAAAAAAAAAAAAAAAAAGTAAAAGAAAGGAAGATCCTCCTGATAATTCAGTGTCTCACCTAGAGGGGAATGGCTGTTTAAGATTCAAAAAGAGAAAACCTGAGGCTCAGTGGCACTGTGAGGTCACCACATAGTCCTTGGATCATACTCGGCATTTTCTTTCCTCCTTCTCAGAGCAAACGTATCTCCAGAAATGGATCTTTGCAGTCACAGGTGGAAAATAAATGACAGTGTAGTGTGATGCAGTTGGGTTTGATATTTCTTAAGATTACAGTTGTCAAGTAAAACGAATAGAGGATGAAAGCTGGATCTACTACTAACTCCTGGTACACCCTGAGCTTGACCACCTCTTCCTGGACCCACACCTCCCTCACCTTTGAAATACTTGACAGTCTTCACTTTCAGCTCCAAGGTGGCATCCTCATCACACACAAACACGGTGCGGGGATGCTGCTGGAAGGCAGACACGGTCCACATGTGGTTCACTCCCTCCTCGATGGCCTTGTACAGAGCGAATGCCTTGTGAGCACCTGTGATGAGGATCATCACCTGGGGATGAGAAAACAAGTCCGTGTTAGAGGGGAGCATTCCAGACACCCTAAACAGTTATAAGGATGATTGTTTTTCATATCACATTGTAAGTGGTTACCATGCAACATACTTTTGCTCAGTGCTCCTTGTGCTTTATCACACAAATAACCCAAGGCAGGCGGCATCATTATCCCCATGTTATATGATAAGAAAACAGAGCCTGGGGGGTTAAGTAACTTGCCCAGGGTCATTTATGACCCTAAAGTTCATGTTCTTGACCACCATGTGACAGTGCCTCCAGGTATCTTTGATGATGCCTATGAAAGTGCCCTGTAAACAGACATGCCATGCCCAGGCCCGCTATCCCGTCAGCTTGGTGACTCTCCACAAGCACAGTTTGTGAAAGAGGGCTCCTAACCTGCACCACCAGCAAGGATGCTTTGCAGGCAATGGTAGGAGTTATCTGTGGGGCCTCTAAGGCTGAATCCCAGGAAGGCTGCTCCATTATCTGGTCACTTTCAGTTCATAGCATTAAACCTATGAACTAATGTGACCTGGGGTGATGGTTTTTGTTAATATATAATAAAACAAAGGCACAGTCTCCACTTAACAGTTAAGATATCAAGAATGTAAGTGATCTTAAAGAACTCAGCTCTATTCAAGGGCAGGAAAAGAGAAAAAAATAACTCAGTTCTATAGATTTCCTTTCATTTTAATTCACATGTGCCACAGAGTTGTGAACAAGATGTACTGTTCCTTAAAAGATTAGAACACAGAAGCAGAGAGGGAATGTGACTATTTATTCCGGACCCCTCAGCAACCCAGAACTCTTTTTAGAAAAGATAATCTCCTGATTTCCAGTCCCAGGTCCTTTCCCAGATCAAGATGCCCTCATGATAAAAACAGGTTTAAGCTGCAAGGCTAAAAACAGCGAGTAAACACCCCCACCCCACATACTGATTGAAGATTACCCAACAGAAATCTGGGCACTGTCACTCATATCACAAAAGTTCACTTTAAACAGGGAATTTTGCACTGATTTAGATGCTTGTTTATTGGCTTGGGCAAAGAAATGTAAATCTAACATGTCTGTAGCTGCTTCCCACTGAATGCACATCAGAAAGGAAGAGAAAATGCTTCTAAAGTTCTAATGAAAATAAGCAAATTGGAACCACAAAAAATTCAAATTCAAATGATAGTCAATTTTTTAGGGGAAAAGCTAAATTAAGTTTAAAACACTTATATTTTAATCACACTTCACCACATTTATTAATCTCTGAGCACGGGGCTAGAAGCACAAGCATCCTTGGTGTCCAAACAGTGACCTCTGCCAACTACAAGGAACAAGGGAGCCCCTCTCTCCATACCTGGTCAGGTACAAAATTCATATTCCAACATTAGTGATGCTGGCCTCCTCTCTGCCTGTGAAAAGCATGAAAGGGGCGAGAGGCCAGAGAGCCTGCTGTCCCAGGCAGTCAGCCAAAGGCACCAAAAACATGCTCAAGGGATTCACCTCACACTGGGAATAATGATGTCTTCCAAAGAGGCAAGAGGAACAGTGAGTAACAGGGTCAGCAGGGATTTTAGCTTTATTTATCATGTCTTCATCTTTAATAAGAATGTAGGTGGTACAAGTATAGTTAAGATTAATAAGAGAAAGACAAGTCCACCCAGCGCAAAGCTGGTGGGGCCCTTGCATCCTCACCTCTCTAGCATCCATGACAGTGCCCACCCCCACCGTCAAGGCCATGGTGGGCACCTTGGTGAGTTCTCCATCGAAGAACCTAGCATTGGCCAGGATGGTGTCCATGGCCAGTGTCTTCACACGGGTCCTGGACACCAGACTGGAGCCTGGCTCGTTGAAGGCAATGTGTCCATCAGGGCCGATGCCTACAGGGAGAGAGCCCACGCAGCCTTGTGAGTCCCAGGGATCCAAGATTTCAAGAATGGACAATTTCTCCTTCCCTAACTAGGGTCTGAAAAAAAATCATTGAAAGCTGTGTCACCTTTCTCATTTGCAGCCCTGAGCAGGTACACCTTAAACATGTGCTCTGTCCCCCCCTACCATTTATTTCTCTTTGACATACTGTCTCAGAGGAGACCCTCCACACCATTTCTATCTGAGGCATACACATTGTTAACTTGCTATCACCCCCAAAAAACTGAGGAAGAAGCACTCCAAACAGCTTCTGCCTCCCCAGATTGTCAGGAAAGTGGACCTTCTCTGTCTCTTCCGCCTGTAGTTAGAGGGTCCTGCTGCTGGGATAGAGGTGCAGTGAACAAAACACCCAGAGAACCTGGAGAGGGGCTGTCAAGGTTCTAAAATCTCAGAGGATGAGAGCTTCCTACCTCCTCCCCACCTTTAAGTACAGAACAGTGATCTCTAGAGTAATAAAAGGCAATTCAATGTTACCCCTCATGGGTAACTCCAGAGGTGGCGGCAGATGGACACACAAAAGGGCAGCCCAGAGGACCCGAGCACAAATCCAAGAAGCAGACACCTGCTCCCACCTGCGGACCTTCAGTGAGTCACCTAACTTCTCTGGGGTTCAACTGGCTATAGGGGCTGTGTGGAGACTTTTGGAACTACAGGAGTCCATGATGTTAAATGTTTAGATAAGTTCCAGGACTGATCCATAAAACCTTAAGACTGGGGAGTAGACAGAATCTCAGAGTCCAAACCCAAACCTCTCAGTTTATAGACAAGGCATCAAACTGCAGAAAGAGATCCCCAAGATAACACAGTTCCTGAGTAGCAGAGCCAGGCAGAGCCCATTTCTCCTGCCTGTCTCTGCAGTCACTAGCACACCCAGAGGAAGCTGTCTGGAGATAGGCATGGTGTCTTGTCCTCCTTCCCACGGGTCTGGCCCTGGATTGTGTGCTGCAGAGTGTCAAGCTTACCTCCAACAAATAGCTCGATCCCACCTGCAGCCTTGATCTTCTCTTCAAAGGCATCACATTCTGCCTGTAGGTCGACTGCATTCCCATCCAGAATGTGGGTGTTTTCTGGGTAGATGTCAATGTGCTTGAAGAAGTTGTTCCACATGAAGGAGTGGTAACTCTCTGGGTGGTCTCGAGGAAGGCCTGTGGGGCCATGGGGCACTCAGTCATGCCTAGGCCAAGCCAAAGCCCCCCTCCTAAGAAGGATGCCAGGACACCAAGCTGACCTACAGAGACACTCCCAGGGGTCTGCCCGTCTGGGAGCCTTAGGCACCAGCCCTCTGACCCCTAGCCACTCGGGACAGACTGAGCCAGTATCCATAAGTGTCCACCCACCCAGCACCACCATCTGTGGCCACAGAGCTGGGCCAGAGTAACTACACACCAAGGGCCTGGGAAATCCCCACATTCTAATCTGCTTTTCATAAGGCAATGACCATAAGTTAGAGGCCGGGGACACTCTGGCCCCCTGGGGTAGGGCTGCACTCATCTTAGAAAGCAAGCAAGCACACCCCTCACCCTGTGCCTCTCACCCCACCATCCACTCCCAGTTCTACCCCACTCAGCCTGAATACATTCCAGTTTGAACACCAGGTGGTTAGAGGGAACTATCTCAAGGCTTCCCCAAATCAACTTTTTTTTTCAGCCAGGAAAAAAAAAATAATAATGTTTAATGTTAAGCATTAAGAATATGTAAAATCAGCCTTAAAAAGGAAGGAAATTTTGACACACGCTGCAAAAATGGATGAACCTTGTGGACTTTATGCTAGGTGAAAGAAGCCAGTCAAAAAGACAAATACTTTATGATTCCAGGTATATACTCTAGTTTGATTCTAGAGTAGTCAAATTCATAGAAACAGACAGTAAAATGGTGGTTTCCGCGGCTGGTGAAGGGGGAAACGAGAAGTTACTGTTTCACAGGTATAGAGCCTGGGTCTTACAAGATGAAAAGAGTTCCAGAAATTGGTTGCACAACAATGTGAATGCACTTAACACTACTGAACTATACACAGAAAGGTGGTTAAGATGGTAAATGTCATGTTACATGTATTTTACCACAATTTTTTTCTTTTAAAAAGGATGTTTAAAATGAAGCTATTACAAAAGGACTGGGTGAAGGGGAGGTGATAGAAGACTAAGGTATAGCCTTTCAGCAGCAGGAAGGACACCAATCTCGGGTCCCCTCCAAGTGTACCTGGCAGAAAGGGGAGCTGGAGGCCACACACAGGAGAGAAAGCACAGATCCAGATCCTAGGGGAAACACCGCAGCCCGGATCCCATTTGTCATCATTTGTTCCAGAAAGAAATGGCATGGAGTTGGGGAGCAGGCAGGAGAAGGAGATACTCTAATATGTATTAAGTATTTGTTATGTGTAAGAAACTTCCACATCTTTTATGATATCATTTAATGCTTATAACCTGTGAGGTCAGTTTTACTAGCCCCATTTTAGAGCTGAGAAAACCAAGAGGTAACTATTGATAATTGAGCCTATCATCAAATGTCACTGGCTCCCTGATTCCTCTCCAGGGCTGGGCCAATGAGAGGAGGAGCATCAGTCTCCTAGAATCAGGAAAGAACCTTGAAAGAGAGACTCACCCACGTACTCATCCATGTTGAAGGTCTTCACATATTTAAAGGACAGGTCCCCATTCTTATAGTATTCAATCAGCTTCTTGTAGCAGCCAAGTGGGGTACTCCCTGAAAGAATGGCCACAGCCATGAACACCCCTTGCACCCCAAGCCTGGAAGCCCAGAGGGTATACAGGAATGAGTCTGGGCTGCTCACAGGGAGAACCTGTCAGATCTGAAGTCCTAGCCAGTACTCCAATCCTAACTGCCATCCATCCATTAATTGTTTGTTTAATGCCTATTTTGCCACTAGACTTTAAGCTCCAGGAGGGCAGGACTGTGTCTGCCTTGATCACTGCTGAATCCCCAGTATCCAGCACACTGATGACTGAAATCACTCTGATTAGTACCTGAGTGAACATCAGACTTAATTATTGACATGATACTCCCTGAACAAGTACTATGTGCAAGGCACAGGGCCATGTGATAAGGACACAGGGGAGCAAGGGACAGTAGCTACTCTAAAGTAACTCAACTGTTTAGGAGCAGAACACAAAGCAGGAACATCAGTTGTGATGGGGTAAAGTACAAGCTCACCCAGTGCCTCAGGGTTCAAGGAAGACTTCCCTGAGGAGCAGCGAAGCCCTAGTTGAGTCTCATTAAAAAGTCAATGTCATGGCCGGGCATGGTGGCTCACGCCTGTAACCCCAACACTTTAGAAGGCCAAGGCAGGTGGATCACTTGAGGTCAGGAGTTCCAGACCAGTCTGGACAACATGGTGAAACCCCATCTCTACTAAAAATACAAAAATTAGCTGGGCACGATGGCATGTGCCTGTAAGCTCAGGAGGTTGAGGCACAAGAATCACTTGAACTTGGGAGGCAGAGGTTGCAGTGGGCCGAGATCACACCACTGCACTCCAGCCTGGCCAACAGAGCCAGACTCCATCTTGAAAAAAACCAAAAAAGTCAATGTCATAAAAACACACACATAATAAAAGGTAGGAGGATACTGTATATTAAAAGACTAAAGATGCATGAACCCTGACTGAACACTGGATTTTTAAAAAACCAACCTATAAAAGATAAATGTGGACAACTGAGAAAAAATTGTGAACATAGTTTGCATATGAGATGATGGCGTGATTTTTCATTTTCTTAGGTATGATGGTATCGTAGTTGTGTAGGAGAATGTCCTTATTCTCAGGAGATATGTGCTGAAGGATTTAGAGAGAAGTGTCAGGATGTCTGGAACTTACTTTCACATGGTTCAGGAAAAAAACGTGTGTGTGTGTAGATACAGAACAAGAGCCAGAGAAAGGTTAAAGCAAATGTGGCAAAATGGTAACAATTGGTGAATTTAGGTGAATGGTATTGACCTGTTTTTTTTTTTTTTCAACTTTTCTGAATATTTCAAATTTTGCAAACTAAAAAAATGAAAGGAAAAAAAAAAAAACTATCGAGATTACATCATGTCACCATTCTTTTCAAAACCCACCATTAGCTTCTCATTTCACCCTCAGCAACACCAGTCCTTCTAAGGCTCCACAGAACCTGGCCCCCGGCTATGAGACCCTCCCTGCCACCATATCCAACACTGCACAGCCCCACCCCTGCCGACACACTCCCTATCCTTTCCTGCTTCATGTTTCTCCTTTCCTCTTATCACCATCTAACATACTCTATATTTTGCTAATTGTTTATTATCTGTCTCTCCCATTATAATTTAAGCCTCAGAAGGCAGAAGTTTATATCCTTTTTGTTCACTGCTGTATCCTTAGAGGCTAGAACAGCTTTGCACACAGAGGGCACTCAATAAATACCTGCTGGGTGAATGGCAGCTCCCCACAACTCACCCAAAATAATCAGCTGGTCCATGTGACAAGGCCTTAGCTATGCCTGAGCCACATAGCTTCCTCTCTCCTGCCATTTTCCAAACTTCTAGCCTTCCCATGAATTCTCTGAACTTCCCAATATCTAGCCAATAAACTCCTTTTCTGCTTAATTTAGCTGGAGTTAGTTTCTGCGGTTTCCACTCAGAACCCTGACAGGTGCTACATCTAACAGAAGGAATGTTCCAAGGAACCCGTGTGGAAATGCTGTCCTGTTGGTTCAAGCAGGACAGGCAGGGAGAGGCTAGGTTTTGGAGGGCCTTAATGCCACTCTGAAGAGCTTGGATCTGACTCTGCAATGATGGGAATGAGGGAATGGTTTCAGAAGACCAGACTCTGACCCATACAGAGGTTGGGTCTCTCCACAGTTAGGAGACAGGATGTTAGCACAGCCTCCAGAGGGCCTGAGACATTGGTGGTTTCACAGGCACAGGTGGATACTACTCCCACAAACCTCTACTGCAGAGCTCAGCAAACTTTGGTCCACAGGCCAAATTTGGTCTGTGGCCTGTATTTTTTATTTTTTAGTTTTTTAGACAGAGTCTCACTTGGTCATCCAAGCTGGAGTGCAGTGGCACGATCTCAGCTCCCTGTAACCTCTGTCTCCTGGGTTTAACTGATTCTCCTGTCTTAGCCTCCTGAGTAGCTGGGATTATAGGTGCCTGCCACCATGACCAGCTAATTTTTGTATTTTTAGTAGAGGTGGGGTTTCACCATGTTGGCCAGGCTCATCTCGAATTCCTGACTTCAAATGATCGACCCACCTCAGCCTCCCAAAGTGCTGGGATTACAGGCATGAGCCACCACGCCCAGCACTGCGGCCTGTTTTTATAAAGCTCATGAGTTAAGAATGGTCTTTTCTTTTCTGAGACAGAATCTTGCTGTCGCCTAGGCTGGAGTGCAATTGCACAATCGTGGTTCACTGCAGCCTCGACCAGGCCCAAGCAATCCTCACACCTCACACCGCAGCCTCAGCTGGGACTATAGGCATGTGCCACCATGCCTAGCTAATTTTTGTATTTTTTTGTAGAGATGGGGTTTTGCCATGTTCCCCAGACGAATCTCAAACTCCTGGGCTCCAGCAATCTGCCCACCTCAGCCTCCCAAAGTGCTGAAATTACAAATGTGAGCCACTGTGCCTGGACTGGTTTTTACATTTTTAAATAGTTTTTTAAAATTAAAGAATAATAACATTTTGCGACATGTGAAAATTATATAAGTTCAAACTTCAGTGTCCATAAAGTTTTATTGGCCTACAACCATACTCATTCACTTACATATTGTCTTCTCTTTTTTTGAGACAGGGTCTCACTCTGTCACCCAGGCTGGAGTACAGTGACACAATCTTGGCTCACTGCAGCCTCAATCTACCAGCTCAAGCGATCCACCTACCTCAGCCTCCCAAGTAGCTGGGACTACAGGTGAGCGCCACCGTGCCAGGCTAATAATAGCTGCTTTCAAACAACAGAAGGGTGAGGTTGTTGCAACAGAGACTATATGGCTAGTGAAGTCTAAAATATTTACTACTGGCCTTTTACAGAAAAAGTCTGGACTGCAAGGAAGACAAAAAAGAAAAAGAAAAAGTTTGAGGAACCCCCCCGACACACACACACACACACACACACACACATACACATACACACTCTAATGGATGGGTCAGGAACGGCCACTAGGGCAAACCCACCCATCTCTGAAAGAAATAATCAGGACATTTGTCTTGAGGAGCTGGGGTCAAAATATCTTTCTGAAAAAGCAACATTTTGATTTTTTCCAAAAGAAATTAGGACTGTTTTTTACTTAGGTCCTGTGTTTAATTAAGCCTTACAGAAAATTACCTAAGTGACTATCTTCTCAATTCTCCCAAGGATGGTACTTAGCTAGTACCCCTCTAGATACAGAGAAGAGAAATTAATTCATTACATAAAATGAATGCCTTAGAGTATCAGGACTTAATTCTGTTAAGAAACCCTGGTGGACAAGGCTGACTTAGGATGTAGCCTAAAAATCAAGTTCTTTCTGCCTAACCAAGATCCCTTCTGCTCCAGGATTCTGCAGGAACAGGCAGCACTAAACCAACCCATAAGGGAAGCTGGGTCCTTTGTATGTGGAAGGGGCAGGAAGGTGCTCTCTCAGCACCAGTACCCCAGAGCCCCCGGGAAGTCCCTTGGCTGAGTGAGCCCGTGTACCTGGCCCCTGTTGCCTACTCTCTCCACTCCTACCCACGGCACCCTCTCCATACAAGAACGCACCAGTGGGGAGCCCCAGGGTGAAGTACTTCTCTGGCCCTGGGTTAAACTGGATGATGCGGTTCCTGATGTATTTAGCCGCCCACTCGCTGGCCTGAGAATAGTGGTCCAGGATGATGAGTTTCATCTTGTCCTGCAGTGGGGGAGAAGGGATGACAGAAAGGAATCAATGGTAAGGGGCAGAGAAAGAGATGGAGGTGGTGGGAGAGGCCTCTCTTACCCAGCAAAAATCCCCCCTTCCCAAGCTGTCTGAGCCAGGAAAAAGGCCTTTCTATTCACAGAGGAGCTAAGAGGTTGGGCCAGTCGCCTCCACCACCCACAGTCCACTAGGAGGCGCTACTGGGGGCAGATCTGGGTTCTAATCTCAGCTCCTTCACTTACCAACTAAAGGACCTCGGTCAAAGGACCTAAGTTCTCTCTGAGCCGTTTCCTCCTTTGTAAAAATTGGGACAATCGTACCTACTTCACAGACTTCACGACGGGTAATATGAAATGAGAGAATGCGTGTAAACCACTTAGTATTTACTATGTTGGCTGTTACCATCCGGATAGATGCCCTGCTCAGCCCCGCCTCCCTCATCCCTGCCCCCACGGGAGCGGGATACTCTCCACGCTCCCCGCCCTCTACCCCATGACTCTTCCTCAAGAAGTAGAGAGGTCATAGGATCATGCTGGGCCTCTAGAGCAGGTGGCGCAATGAGCTCTGCCTGGGGAGCTGTGTGCTGAGGGGCTTGCTGAGGGACTAGTGGAGGGGTGTTCCTACTGGCCCGCCTTGCTTTGCGAACCCCTCTGGGTCCTCAGTTTCCCCCAAGGCACAAAAGGTAAAAGGTAATCGCTCCGGAAGGAGGACGTTTTGCTCCCCCAGCACTGCGGTTAGTGGGAGTGGGAAAGCAAGAGGCGAAGGTGGCCCGCGCGGTCGTCGGTGGGGTACAGCGTGTCCCCCACCCCGATTACCACCCCATCGACCCTCCGATCCCGGCTGGAAAATGTGCGAGAGCGGCTCCCCGGGTCCCGACCCCGGGTGCCGTAGGGCTGAGGCAGCGCTCCGCGCTCCGGCCCGCGAGGAAGGTCCCCGCCAGCCCTTCTCCCCACTTACGCGGACGCCTCCCGCGGCGGCTGCAGCTACTGCGCCGGCGGCCAGGCCCCGCGCGGGTCACGTGGCTGCGGGTCACGCGGCGCACCGTGCGCCGCTCGCTGGGCTGACTCAGCGGGGCCGCAGCTACTGGGACTGACTCTCCCGGCGGAGGGATTCCGACCACTCACAGTCCCACCTCGGCCCATGGCTCCGGCAGACCCTGGAACAGACCGTAAAAAACACACTTTCCCTTGAGAGGCGGGGATTCGAGCCTGGGGTTTTTTTTTGGTTTTTTTGTTTGTTTGTTTTTTGTGCAAGAGGAGGGAGACTTGAGGGGTGCCGGGTCGCCCCCAGGAATACAGCCCTCTAGAACTTGGGGCTGGAGCCGGGGTTTTTAGTGCAGGGGTTGAGCTGGGGGCAGGCAAAGCAGAATCGCTTCCTCAGTCTCCTAGGGTTGGGCCTGGCCCTGTCTTCAGTTTCTTTATTTGTTTAGATGCCATTTATTTACCCAGGTATTAAAACTTTTGTTGTTTAAAATACAATTGGACTTTTTAATGTCCTTTTTTAAAGATCAAACTTTGCAGCATTATATAATAGAGAAAAAGGCAGGCCCCTGGTTTCCCCAACTCCCCACACCAAGATAACCATTGCTTAGAGTACATTCTGAATTGCTTTCTATGAATATGCTTACACTGTTATTTTACATAAATGGGAACACATACACATGAGGCTTATATCTATCAAGGGTCAGATATTTGACCTGCATTATTTCACTTAATCCTTATTAAGCTCCAGTAGTAGGTTTGCCATTACTTTTTAACAAGTGGAGAAACTGACGCTTGGAGAGAAAAGTTAACTTGGCCAGAGGCACCAGTGGTTTGCCTAAGACTTCAATTCAGGGGAATCTGTCCAAATCCCAAATCCATGCTTTTTACCGCTAGCGGGCACTGCCTCCCAGCTGGTATGACTGAATTTGGGACGCTTCTATATCAGAACAAGAGATCCATCGTATTCTTTCCAGTCAACATTAGAGTGTTGGAGGCTTCTAGGGACACTTGGGAACTTTCCATGCAGAGGCTGGAGGAAGGACTTGAGTGCTGGTCATCAGTAACATCTTCCATTACATAGGGTTTTGCAAGAGCTTTGTGCCCATTATTTCATAGAATCCTGCCCAATCGTCAGATATGATTACCGCCATTTTATTGATATGGAAACTGGGGCTCAAAGGAGTACAGAGACTTGTGATATATGACCTCACAGTCTGACATCCCGGACTTTGGTCAGTGCTAGGGAGCAGTGGCGAGATCTCCTGAATCAGCCTAGTTTTCCTCCGGCAGCAAAAGGCCAAAGGAATCCTGGCTTCATGCCAGGTGACAGGGCCTTCCTCAGTCAGCCGGGTGGCCACGTTCTGCAATTCTGCTGAATCTGCTCACTGTGGACCTCCAGACCAGGTTGCTAGGAGTAGGCTTCATCTGGTGAGGCCCTGATGAGACCAGAGATGTTGGAGCTGATACCTTTACACTGTGGGGGACTTGCTTTTTGCCTCAGTGTTATTTTTGTTTGTTTGTTTTTTATTTTCCAAATCCTGAGAGCCTGTGAATGGCTTGGTGTTGGTGTAGTCTTTGTTTATTTTTAAATTCAGTCAGAAATCTGTTTTGTTTTGGTTTTTTTTTTTTTGAGATGGAGTCTCGCTGTGTTGCCCAGGCTAGAGTAGAGTGGTGTGATCTCGGCTCACTGCAACCTCCACCTCCCGGGTTCAAGCAAGTCTCCTGCCTCAGCCTCCTGGGTAGCTGGGATTACAGGTGCCCACCACCATGCCTAGCTAATTTTTGTATTTTTAATAGAGACAGGGTTTCACCATGTTGGCCAGGCTAGTCGCGAACTCCTGACCTCAGGTGATCTGCCCGCCTTGGCCTCCCAAAGTGCTGGGCGTGAGCCCACCGCGCCCAACCAGAAATGTCTCAACATTAGGACTGCAGATGTTTCACAGTGAAGCTCCAACTCCAATCTCCAAACATGTCTGATAACGTGGGCCAGGTCTGCAGCATCTGTATCCAGACCTTTCCAGGAAGACGGTGACTTCTGGTGACTGAGCCCATTTCCCCTGAGTTACCCCTTCTGCAGGGAACCAGTACAGGGTCTCTGTGAAGCCTGGAGGCTCTTGGGTCAGCTTGGGGACTAATCGGAAAGACCTGCCTTTCAATTCTGGTCTGGCTAATTTCTGGTTCTTGAGTGAGTAATTCAAGCAAATGACTCAACTTCCCCAGGTCTCAGTTTTCTTACCTGAAACATGAGAATTGAGTGGAAATTAAGTAATACTGCCCTCCTGTGGCTGTTGTGACTATTAAATGAAATATTAGCATAGCTTGGCATTCACAGCCAGCTGTAATTATTTACCCCTTATTTCCTCCTAACCCTCCTTGCAGCCCACTCTCTAACCATACTGAAATGCTCTCTAGCCCTAACCTGTCTCCCTGTACTCTTCCTACTCCACACCTGTGTTTAAACTGCACTTATCCTCCCATCCTCTTGTCTTGGAACTAAAGTTGGCAAATTAGAAGAATTGTGAGTTCATCCACACAATGGAACACTCTGCAACTTTTGTATGGTCAGATATTTTTATACCTTCTAATGCACCCTTGCTTTGGGCAAACAACCTGCCCAGCTGTTACCCCCCAAATTCTGCTCAATTCATAGTTTGTATGGTGCTGGCCCTACCCTTTGACCTAGGATTGAACCAATTAGAGACTCCATGACTCTGGCCATGATTAGTTCAAGGCCAGGCAGGCATGGAAGACACTAACCCAGCAGCCATTCACAGCCTCCTTCTCCCTAGCTGCTTCCCACTGGAGAAACTGGAAAGTCAACGACCTCACAGCTTCTCCCACAGCTACGGTGTGGCCAAGTAACTTCGTTCTGCCCAACGAGGGAGGAGGATGGCTTCTGGTTAGATATTTTACTTCCTGAGAAAAGTGCTGTGCTTGAGAAACAAACTGGTGGGTTCTGGTTCCTTCCCTTTCCTTCCTGCCTTGAAGGCAGTTGTGATGACTGAAGCTGGGGAGGCCACATTATAATTGTGAGGCACCAAGCATAAGGATAGAGTGGAGGAGAGAAAACACTTATGTCCTTGCTATCTGACTAGTACTGGGACTTCCTACTCTGGGCTTCTTATACGTAAATGGTAAATGTCCTTTTGGCTTAATCTTTAAATCATTTTTAGGAGAATTGCCTGTGACTTGAAATTGAAAACATGACTCACTGTTACAGCAGGTGATTCAGGTCTTCCTGGGGGTTTATGCTGCTACTGGGGAGAAATACTCTTCTCCTGAAATCTTGAGCTGTAAAATGGAGCAAAGCTTAGAGCTACAGAAAGGTACAACAAATAGAAGAAAGACACAGAACTCTGATGACATCATTTGAGCCCCCTAGAATAGCATGTCTGAAGCCAAATATACCCTTTTGGGTTTCGTGGTTGAGTGAGTAAATGAGTGAATACATAATTAAATATCATTTTCCCCTGAAGCTAGTTAGAGGAAATTCTGGAAGGATATTTTATTAGTTATGTATTGCTGCATAACAGATTACCCCAAAACTTAGTGACTTAAAACAACAATAATGACTATTTCTCACAGTTTCTGTGGGCTGGAAATTCAGACAGGATACAGTGGCGATGATATCTTGCCCCTCAACTGAAAGACTCAGAGTCTGGGGCTGGAATCATATGAAAGCTCATTGACTCACACCTCTGGCAACGGGTGCTCACTGTCAGTAGAATACTCGCACATGGCTCTCCTTGTCGCCGTGGCTTCCTCACAACGTAGTGGTGGGTTCCAACGGCAAGTGTATCGAGACAAAGGTGGGCTAAGCCTGTATCCTTCTTCTGACCTAGTCTCAGAAGTCATATAGCATCACTTCTGCTGAGCTCTGTGGGTTGGAGAAATCACAAGCCCCTACCCAGATTTAAAAAGAGAAAACATAGACCCCCATCTTTCTGTGTAAGAAGTTCAGTAATATTATAAGAAAAGCATGTTGGATGGGATACATGTATGAGTATGGCCATGTTTAAAAAATACAATCTGCCATAGACACACACTAACTTAAGATTTGATCTGGCCAGGAGTGGTGGGTCACACCTGTAATCCCAACGCTTTGGGAGGCAGAGGCGGGCAGATCACTTGAACCCAGGAGTTTGAGACCAGCCTGGCCAACATAGTAAAACCCTGTCTCCACTAAAAATACAAAAGTTACCCGGTCATGGTGGCACGTGCCTGTAATCCTAGCTACTCAGGAGGCTGATACATGAGAATCGCTTGAACTCGGGAGGTGAAGGTTGCAGTAAGCCGAGATTGCACCACTGCGTTGCAGCCTGGGCGACAGAGCAAGACACTGTCTCAAACAAACAAACTGCGCCCCCCCTCTTTGGGAAAAAAAAAGAAAAAAAATTTTAATAAAAAGTTTTGATCAAAATAATTGACCATCTACTCTGTCCTAGGCACTGTGCTAAAAGTTTTTAAAGCATCGTCTCATTGACTCATATTTTTGTAAAGTGGGTGCTGTGGGGTAGGATACATTCTGCTTAATATTTGTATGAAATGAATGATTTTGTCTTGAAGGAAAAACAACAAAAAACCTTGAAAACTTAACGAATCTTATGCTTCCATCCAAGCCAAGTAAAGTGCCACCTGCCCTACGGTCTTCTTTGTCATTCATTTATAAAATATTTATTGAGCCTTTACTATGTGCCCAGCACTATTTTAGGTTTTGGGGACACAACAATGAACAAAGCCAAGTCCACACCCTTGTGGACCTCCAGGCTCTAGGAATTACATTTTTATGAATTTTAGTAACTTGGTGTGATAGCCAGCCTCCAAGATGGCTCCTAGTGATTCATACTCTTATGTAGTCTCATTCCACAGTGGATGGGGTGACCTGTGTAACCAACAGGATAGTGCAGAAATGATGGGTGTGTCTTCCAGGGTTAGGTCATAGCATGATTGCAGCTTCTTCTTTGTTTTCTCTCTGGGATCACTTTCTCAGTGAGGTCGGCTGCCATTTGGGGGACACACTGGAGCAGCCTTATGGAAAAGCCCAGGTGGCGAAGAAACAAGTTTTCTCCCAAAAGCCATGGAAGCCATCTTGGAAGCAGATCCTCCAGTCCCAGTCAAGACTGCAAA